GAGGTATAAAGTTTATCATCAAAGCTGAAAGATATGTCTGGTGATATTTCTGTTTATATGTTCAATCAACCTTTTTCTGTTAACAACCTACAATTCCTTCCACTCATTTCCACTAGATCCCTTTCCACTCTACAGCTAACGTCACATTAAACACAGAATCATTTCATTTTAGTTGACAATCATGCTCTGAAAATGGTGGAATTATTTATTTAATCAGAAGAAAATGTCACGATTTCGGATCCAGTATGTACATCAACAACTGGCATCCACAGACTGAAATAGCTGCCACCTGAACGACAACAAGCCTTCAGTAGCTCGGACAGACCATATCATAATCGACATTGCTGTTTCCTTGCACGTGGAAGCCAATTCCGGAACAAACACTTCAGGCAGTTTCAGATATTAGACAATACCATCTACGTATGATAGTCAATATCGTGTTTTTAAAGTTTCTGCCATTTTTGTGTCAACTGTACTAGTCGTTAACTTCATTTCCCTAACTAAATGTGCGTTTTTCGACAAGAAACTTTTCTAACCATGCAGTCAAATTACTGTAGGAATGTCTTTCAACAGAGGACGCGAGTTGGTTTTGTTATCTTATCAATAGAAAGATTGGTTTGGTTTACTGTTGCTTTACGTCCTATTAACAACCAGGGTCATTTAAGAACGTGCAAAGTTTGAGTGGTAGAGGAAAGCCGAAGTTCCCGGTGAAAACTACTGACCTGTGGCCAATACTTGGTAACTGCCCTACGTAGGCCTCGAACCCATGACCCAGAGGTAGGGGGCTAATGATATAGGTGCTGAGACGCCTTAACCAGTCGAACACCGCGCAATACATGTATCAGAAGATTTGATATATTTAAGAAAGTCAACGGGTAAAGCCTAAAGACTTACTACGTACTGAAAATAAACTGAATGCAAACATCAGCAACAATCGATAACGAAAGATGTTGTCTCTCTCTCAATAAACTGTCCTTTAATACCGAGAAAAAATGTTAGTTGAAATTAGATTAGCCCACATTGAGGTGTTGATCCGAAATAAAAGCGAAGCGTCGAGTGTAAAATTAGATTAGACTGAAAGTCAATGAAAAGCGTTTCAATTAGGCGCTATATCTGTGCAAAGCAATGACAGTCGAACATCATTATCTCGAAATCGGTGGGACCATAATAAAACTTCGGTTTACGCGAATTCGAATGTTTTGTGTAAAGTAAGGCAGGAACCTACGGAATGCTTCGAATTAACGGTGTTTTTGGGTTCGAGGTAACGAAGATCGACTGCATATGTGATTTATTGTGATTTATCACGTGCAGTCATTTATTTTCTACTTATCGTGAACAAAACACTTCAGACAACCCTACTTACAGCCAATCTTAATGTGTAACTGCGTTAGAAGATCCACGCATTTTGAAAACGGGTATCCATTTAGTAGTTCATGGTTACCTTAATGAACAACATACGGAAGTCGCGTACCATTCAGATCATGAAGAGCGAAATATTTTTGCCCAACGATACAATTACATCAGCACAACCCAGTTCGTTGTTCTGCTTCGCCATCAACACAAATCATCGCAAGTAGTGAGGTTCGAACCACGCACCTCGGAAGCCTGCTGTGATTATGTAGGCTGGCGGGCCAACCAACTGAACTATCGAGACCCCGTATTAGAATTCAAAGTATAATAACTATGCACCGTTTATAAGAGCTACATCGAGGCAACTTGAGCAAAGATTTTAAAACAACAATAAAAAGTGAAATGATTATATAAGAGAGAAAATTACTGGTTTGTAGTTTAAGATAAAGTAAATTACGTTTTCGTGAGAATTTTGAATGTAAAATGTATTGCATGTTCGTTTAAACAGACATGATATAAATGTTCTACGTACACTAGGGTAAATGGTTCCCCTGGAAATGAAAATACTTAACTGACGACAGGTTTATGCAAAGCAATTTACTTTTCAACGTATTTTTCTGAAACGAATTTTGACAATTTTATTAGATAAAGCAAAAACCATGTGTATTTGCTAGTACTTAAGACTGCAGGTTCGTGATAATATCAATTTCAGAGAAGACGTTTATTTTGCATAATAACATCCTGTCCTGAACAGAAAGGCGGCTCAGAAGATCTGCACAATTTAGTATCGTGACATAGACTACATACCGTGACTCCCGAGTACATCAGAACACTCACAGAAACACTTGTAAAAACCTCTCATTGTGTCATATCGGACGGCGTGGTGACGGACTAAATAGGGCGGTTCTCTCATGACGCGTTACCGTTTTATTTATGTAATAGCTTTTTAGAAAAGTCTGTACTAGTTACAAACGTTCTAACGTGTACCAACTGATATACCTATATTCAAAATTATGGACTTGTTTCCAGTTTTAGATGGCACACTTACAGGGACTTTTCTAAGCCCACATATCAAAGCTTTGCGTAAAAGCCTACGTTTAAAATTACGTAGCCAGATATAATAGGCTATTATCAGTATGGTAAAATTCATTGCAGTAGAGTCAAACAATGAATTTAACTGCATCATACAACAAAAAAAAAAAAATAGATTTTAGTAGATGTGTGTACACAATGATATTGTTTCACTCTACATTCAGTGCAGTTGCCCTATACACAAAAACATAATATTAGGTATCAAAACACGACTGAGTCGAACACACATTGCGGGTGTCGTCGATGAAACAGAAAACGCTTGCTCTTCCTGAACACCCGGTCCTATTCTCCTTATACTTTTCCTGGAGTCTCCGTGTATACATTTCGTTTGTTCATACTTCGTCCTAAATTTATTAAATTCAATTTTGGATTATGATCATGTTTACATGTTAGTATTTTCTTGTTGTTTTTTTATACCCAACAAGGCTTTCGCAAATAAATATGAGAACACAATTTTTCACCCAAACCGTATGCAACCATTTGACAGATGTTCAAAGGAATCATCTTATTGCATGACGAAGAAATAGAAAGTACCCTGTGATTAGTACTTGATAAAAATGTTTTCAATATCATTATACCACTACACTATAGGCAATAATATTCACTTTTATTGACAAGCGCTTCTATATCTCTTCATGCACAACGACCCGGGGGTATGCATTTAAGATTGAAATGATTTTTGAAACAACTCACCTCGGGCGTTTGCCACGGTCAGGAATGTCAGTATTTGTTCCAAGGCCCACAGTGGCGTCACATTGGGTCGATAGGATTAATGGTTTATGCAGCTTGCGGACTAATTCCTGTGATCTGGAATGAAAAAAATGAGTAATGCTTTTAAAATTAATTAATATAGAGAATTATGGATTTTTGGGGGTAAATGCTCTCACCAAATCTATTTTTTCAAAATTCGTTTCAACCATTTTTGATTTACCTCAACCGTTTCCTAAGCTTCAACTATTTAGGTCTTTATCACCACTACCACGTCCTAGAAGGACGAAACAACTGAATGTATAGCAATATTGTTTCTTATTCTGTGTAGAAAGGTGCTTCACGTGTGTTTCGTCCATACAATTACTTAGCTGTGGCCAGTAAGAAAACATCTTCACAAAATGCATATATTGTATATACTTTTTTTAATTACGGCATAGAGGAATATTTTGTCAGGTACTTGTAACATATATAAGATGCATCAAAATAGAGTATATAAGACGGCAACAAGACAATCCAAATGAACGTTACAAAAGTGTACCCAACAACTTGAGAACAGGTTTGTGACATTATTTGCTGAAATATGGATTACGAGACAACACCAGCTCCATAAAAACGTCTTGAAATTATTATAAAAAAAAAAAAAAAAAAGATTTTGCATTTAATGATTGTCTTTCATTTTTCCACGTGACATATGTCGATGAAGAAGGCGCTCACTCTTCCGGAACACCTTGTTTTATTATCCTTGTGCTTTTTAAGATGATTTTGAATTAAAATGTTGTTGACATGTCGGCATTTTCTCTGTTGTTATTGACTAGCACGATGTTAACATGAGATAAAGGAACACGTTCATTTTCCTTTACATGCTGTTATCATATATTAATCAACATAAGCATTTTTATCCAACAGAAAATGCGACAAATTAAATGGCAAAGTATTCTCAAGGTCGTAATCAACTATCTTTGGCAGTCCCTCAGAGCTATTCAAGGTCACATATGTCATGTTTATCTTTCTGGTTTCCAAGGTTACGTGATAAATAATGGAATTGATAATATCATAACATAACATTTTGTCACAAGGAAACTATATTACTACGCCATATAAATCCCTAAGCTTGTCAGCTTCAATAGATATTATCGTGATGTGATTTCCAATGATAGTTTGTAAGGAATATTAGAAACACATATTAATTTTCTATCGGAGGAACTCGCACTGGAGGCCTGGTAAAGCAATATCACTTAATCAGTTTTTTCCCGATTATAGTATTATCGATAATTATCGCCTGATTTGTATTGAATCCAATACGTTTGTAACGTTTATCATAAATCGAAGGACTTGGTGGTTGATATGTTATAGGAATTTTATTGCAGTCTCGCCAGGCCTACACAGTTCTCCATGAATATCTTCTAAAGGTTCATATTATATCATAGGCTCTGGTACAGGACTAAATCTTGTAGAATAGCAAAATGTCTCTCTCTCTCTCTCTCTGTCTACCTGCTACTGTCTATCTGTACTCTCTCTCTCTCTCTCTCTCTCTCTCTCTCTCTCTCTCTCTCTCTCTCTCTCTCTCTCTCTCTCTCTCTCTCTCTCTCTCTCTCTCTCTGTATTTGTTTTTCTGCCTGTGCCTCTCTGTCTGTCTTTGTCCTCTGTCTCAGTTTCTTTGTCTGTCTCTCCATGTCTGCATATCTGTATCCTTGTGCCTCCGTTTCTATGTCTCTGTCTCTCTGTTTAGCCATGTGTTTTTGCTTCTCTATCTCTGCAAATATGCCTCCCTGTCCATGTGTTTCTTTGTCTCTCTCTGTCTGTCTGTCCCAATGTTTCTGCCTCTTTTTCTGCCTCTTTGTTTGTCTCTATCTCTGCCAATCTGCCTCCATGTCCTTAAGTTTCTTTGTCTCTGTCTCTCTGTCTGTCCCTATGTTTCTGCCTCTTTGTCTGTCTCTTCGTTTGTCTCTATCTCTGCCAATCTGCCTCCCTGTCCCTAAGTTTCTTTGTCTTTGTTTCTCTGTCTTTCCCTGTGTTTCTGCCTCTTTTTCTATCTCTTTGTTTGTCTCTATCTCTGCCAATCTGTCTCTCAGTGCCTCTATCTCTGTCTCTTTCTCTCTGTTCTGTTTCTCTGTCTCTGTAATTCTCTCATGAAAAATTCGGCAATGAATTTAAATTAGGTATGCTAAATATTCATTTTGATCCATATTCCTCCAAACCGATAGGTATTGAATAAAACGAATTTTAACTGCTTCTTAGAGCTTAAACTCGACATTGACGAACAAAACATGCATGTATATCAGATATTGTATATATGCATGGTATATTGCTACTGACAAGTGTCTAATGTGGGCTGTTAAACATGGGTACAACAATTACAAGCTACTATGATTCATGCAAATAAGAAGTAAAAGTTATTTCATCATTTAAGCTAAACATTACTTCTCGGCGAAAAGAGGTTTTGTTGCCAAGGTAACAGTTTAGAATATATCTAATTAGCTATGAGTCAGACTAATATTGATTTCTTTTTAACATGTATGTTTTGTACGTTGTATAAATGCATTTACACTAACATCGGTATAGTCACTAAACTGTCAAGAATCCTCTAAACTAATCAAATTTGTTTAAATTTACAAAACATCAATTTGGAGCTCGTATATTTGTCTAGCGTTGTGGTAATACCAAACGTAATTCGTTTACATATGTATAAACATGTGTGAACATATAGATTGCAGTCACTCGGATGTATTGTTAAAATGTTCTAGGATAACATACAGCTCTGTACATGGTATGACACTCGTCAAGGTTCACACGAGTCAAGGTAAAGGACAGTTCAAATAAAAGCAATTAGCGAACAGTGCATACAATATAATTCAAAATAAATCACAGATGACAATTCGAAGTCAACATTCTCTTAAATATTGGAACAGTGAATGTGTTTAAGATGTGAATTCCCTAAGTACCCGATGGCCAGTTTCAATATTAGTGGTAGTGGTTGCACGATACAGTACGTAGACTCAAACAACAGTCTATTCTTAGAACGTATCAAACACGTTTGTCTTATTAATAAAAGTCACAGTAATGTTCAAAGAGGATGTTTGATATCTTATCTTGGCTAACATACGATATAAAAATGTAGAAGCACCAAGGGACTTCACTTAAAATATTCAAATTTTGACAGCAGCGCAGCGTCAATTGGAGGTCAAATGAAGTCTACCTTCCACTAATAAACTGGTACGCTATATCGTTATACTTCATGTTATAGTGATTCAGAATCAGATATCGAAATGGTTAAATATGAATCATGAGTATTGATTGCGGCCTCTAGTAAAATTCTCTAATTGTTGTCGTTGCTATCGTTCTTAGCCTCAAGACACCCTTTCGTTTTCTCTTTCATTTCATTTTAGTGGTAAAAATGGCCCCAGTGGTGATTAGATGGGCGATAGAGAGGCCAAGTGTCCCTTCCTGTCCAGCGCTCTGATTTTCAGTGTCTGAGTAGTTCATTTGTAAAAAGGTCAGAAGGTTAGAACTGTCTTGCTTCCCGACACCGAGGAATCGTTCAACCATATGTCACCAAGACCATAGTGAGAAAGTCATAGATAATTCAAAGTTGATTAAGGAGAACAATGACGATGTCCTTGTCACCACGTGCATAGATCATATCACGTTTAGTCAGTTTGCTTTTCTGAATCAGGAGCTAAATTCTAACACGCTCGTTGTAGGTACAGTATTATATACTAATTTGAAACTTTTGAACTTTCATGGCCCTTTCCTGACATGAAATGGTAACAGAGTTATATATAGATCGTGTTTGTTACGTTCTTGAAGCAGCTCAGGTCAAATGGAGGCAGTTTATATAGATATTTTAAGACCACAAATTTTACCGAGTTTTCTACCGTTCGACACCGAATTATGTGACATTATTGTGATTGATTGCCTGACTTATCCGGTGAAATCAATACAGGTCTGTTTCAAAGGCAATAAAACCAGATTTTAACAACAAAAGCGAATTCAGACTGGAAGTTGAGGTTCGTTCGATTGTGATGTAGCAAGCAGGTCTGGTTTTAAAAGTACTTCAAAGACATATTTTAAACTGGTGTAAAACATGGAATGTAGCTTCAGACTTTGTTTTGATTGCACGATTTATAAATGGCCTATGATCTACCATAGTTTAAATAGTAACATCATTTGCTTAATACTAATTTAGTAGCAAGAACATCCATAATTTTTTCCTGAATATCTGCACAATAACGGAAAAAAAAGAAAAATTATGAAGGTCACATGACATGAAACTATATGGAACATTTTACTCCATCGCCAGATGCTTTATAATTATTGCAACTTTCGAAGCAACATTTTTCCGGAAAATACAGAGGTGGCAGCTAGTGTAAAAATTCACGTTTTCTTTTGTTGTTCATATTTTTGTAAGTTTCTGCTTCATATTTATTTAATATTTTACAGGAAATTTTCACTATTTTTTCAAGATATAACTTTTCAAAAAAGTTATCAGGAACTTAGTTTGATTCTAACGCTGTTCTTTCTCCTTGAAAACAACACGGAATGAACAACACCTCATGGTCAACCAATTTGTATAATAATGTCGCATAGCGGGCACTCAATAGGCTTAACAACAAAAACTCGGGGAAATACTCAAGGACCTGATTTTGCAATTATATGAATCCCGTTACACACGATAATTGTCCTTGAATTTTGTCCAAATTGATTGATTTCAATTCTGACACGTAGGAACCAAATGGAATGAAAACCCTCTAGCTTTCAGACGATCAAATACATGTAGAAATGAAATATTTAACGACAAACAACCTCAGCTTGAACAGAAAATAAACGTCCACTTGCAAGATCTGCTGTCGATGATGTTTATATTTGGCCTCAGGTTGACTGAAGCTTTCGTTGAAGCATAGTTTGTACTAATCATACCTGATGAAAAATTTCTGGGGCTCTTTCGATATAGATGAAAATACCAATAAAACAACAAAATCAACAACATAAAAGTCAACAACAACAATACATAGAGGAATTAAACATTGCGTTCTATTGTAATGAATAAGGGAAAAACGATTTTATATTGTCAGTATACGTTTGTAGTTGGCCCAGATTTGCATAAGGTTCCGTCCTACTGTACAGCTGTGTAGGAGATACGATCTGAGTGAGGAGAGGGGAGATGTATTGAGATCTATCCGTGTTGACATTTCCTATTAGGCACTGTTCGGCGACCAGTCGAACAATCGCCGGTATCACTCAATCTCGCAAGCGTTACACAAGACTGATAAAAGGGTTTTTCACACAAAGTGCACAATTACATTGCTTCAGGCACTTGTTTAGCTCTACAGAAGTATCTATTTCGCTACAGTTGAGGAATCATGGAAATGAATTGCCTTTATATATACTGTTTATATTATCAAACTGTGATGTTTTTCCGGGACAGGCATTGTAATATATACATAATGTTTTATTTTCAAATTAAATGCCTGTTCAATATCTTTTTAAACTTTGAAACCAATCTCAACTGCGTGTTATACATCACGATATTGATATTGAGGGAGATTGGATGACAATTTCGTTCGCAGATAATCGCATTTAGACACACAAAAAAAGTTAGAAACCCAGATAAATATATGATAGTTCGCTCGCTTTAATGTGAATTCGGTGATTCATGTGTTATCTAGTTTTATCTGTATCTTTTATTGCAGAAAGTCGGTGGCAGTACATAAAATTTCAATTCATTCACATGCTTTACGTGACAGAATAAAACTTCTGATGCATGACTGATACAAAATATTCCGTAGTAACCTAGTTAATCAGGTTGTCAGAAATTAGCCGACAGATGCTTACTAATAATGCTGACAGATCTTTGCACTCGACCTTGTCGGACAACGGACGCTCTCGTTCAATAATTTCCTCCCGGGATTAAAATTTCACTTTGTGTTAAATACTGCTCAAATGGAATAAAAAATAATAATTATCAGTTGTGAGACCTAATTAGCTATTTATCCCAAAGAAAATAAATCATACTTGTGTCGTTTAACAGCGTGTAACTCAGTATCGATATATTGATTCGTCTACCACGCATGCTATGATGAAAAATATTTGCTTTGTAATCATTTCATCAATTAATTTTCAATAAAACATATTTTTTTCACAAAATATGGAAAACGACCACTTTCCTTCGGAATCTCTTCGTGATATCGTTCCAGACATTCAAGGCTGTCTTGACTCGTACAAGCCATGTTTGTCCACTGTGTATTGCTTACGGTGGATAATGTCTTATTGCGACACCAGAAATAGACACCAACGTCATCATTACCCTCTGTATTATTTAAATTTCCGTTGACCAGCTGTACATGAATCAACCTTTGACGTCGTACTATGATAATAGGGCCAAATAATTAGGACATTGCTGTCCTAAATAAGGAGTTGAAATATAACTGATGAATCATTATGATTGACAAAAATACTATAAAATGGAAAAGAAATGCTAAATTTGAGAAAACGTTTCCTTTATCTAGTATATTTGGAAGATAAAAGCACAGTTTATAGGATAGAGAATAAAAAATGAAAAGAAGAATGGTGAGACTGGGAAGAAAAGGGATTTAAGCGCTCGCGATTATTGGTCATGTGTGCAAGAAGAATGCTTAATGTCTTCCTTAACATTAAAAGAAGTTCAATTTTGCAGGCGTCATACGCCTACCTTTGGTATCTATTTATCCAACCATTTCCATTTGACAATATATCTGTAACTATGATAAAACATACAATCCGTGTATCCCAAGTCCTTACTCTACCTGTGTTGCCTAGAAGATACCATGAAAGCCTGGTCGATCTTCTCTTTGTCGAGTAAATTACGTAACGCTTGGAGTTGTATACTTAAGTACAGATTCATTCAGAGTCGCCACATCAAAGAGACATTAATTTGAATTCGATTAGTTGCATCAATAGAAAGTGAGTGTTATCTCGACAGCGTTTAGGATTTACAACGCTTTAACATCTCTATGTGATTAAAGTTTAACCAACATTGCTGGAGTAATTGGAATAAAAAGAGACGTTTTATCAATAATTAAACGCAAAACGTAATAGTTAGATATCGATGTCGTGACGTCACAGTTATTTTTTGTGTCTATTATGCG